GGGAGCAGTATGATGTGGTTTCATGGGCCCTAAAATCTCTAGCAGCCCCCTGTCTGACAATAACTATGATCAGAAGCTATAACAGGACATTAATAATGGTTTCCTGTAATAATAAATCTCCAATCAATCAAGCTCACATGTATCACAATGTTTCATATGTTTTACCAGCTACATTCCTCATCCTATTAGCCATCTTCCTGTTTGCTGTTTCTTTACTTTTGGTGCTCATTGCCACAAGAAGCAGTAATGTTATGTTCGAACCCGAGCCTTCGAGGCGTGTATGGGGTAAGTTTGAATGTCATGACTGTTGTTGATTGTAAAGCTGCTAAAAGCTTAGTAAAGAATACCCAATATATTGAACTGAGTGTGTGAGTGAGTGTGTGTGTGTGTGTGTGTGTGTGTGTGTGTGTGTGTGTGTGGGAATGGGGGGTATCAGTTCTGCATATTCATCTTGTCTCTGTTGCCTTCTGGCAGAGAAGGTGTTTAACCTGAAATGAAAACCAGACCAAAATGAGAAGAAAAATTCCTGAATGCAGCTGGAGGACAAATCAGACAAAGTAAATAAACAAACTCATGTAAACGGATTCTCTGTGTGAATTTATGTTATATAAAGTTCGAACAAAATAAAACTTCTGCAGGTAAGGCAATTGTATTTAACGATTTCAGATAATGACATCAATATTAAAACAGACGCACTGTTGAACCACGAAGTGCAGTTATTCTGTAGACATAACATAGGTCTGGATTTAATGAATCACACACTTTAAATACAACATCACACAAAGATCTAATTCTATACACTACTGATTATTAATGTTTCTTAATGACATTTACATTCTCTAAAAGTTAAAATTTCAAAAACATTCCCGTTTGGCAGGGTCTCCCCCACCTCCACATCGCTGTGCATGTCCACTCCATCTTTCCTCCAGGTCACCACGATCCCTTTGGGGAAGAAGCCGGTTGCGTGGCAGGTGACAGGAGAGGAAGGGTCCTTCTGCAGCAGAGACACCTCAGGGCGGACTTGGGGAGAAAGACAAAAACATCCATAAATAAAACGCTACACTTCATCACCAGCAATCCCTCCTGTAAATACATAATGTGGTTAATATTCTACACATTTTAGCTATAAGCCTGCATCAGGACAGGGACAGGTGTGCCCTTCCCCCCTGTATTTCATAGTATTTCTGCCAGGAAGGTGTTAATGATCTAATACCATCTAATACTGGTGATTATGAGAATCAGTCCAGGTGGGATGACAGACAGAAGCATGGGGGGGGGAGGATGATTTATGACCATGAATGAGAAAGAGGTGAACTGAATGTATGCGCTCATCCCTGACTTCATCCCACCCCAGGATGTCCAGACCCCACCCCACAATCTGCTCCAGACCTGCTGTACTGTACCTGTCCTCTCCAGTGTGCTCTTCCCGTAGCTCACATACTTCTTCAGCCACTCAATACATATGTGAGTATGGTAGGCTTTTTGTCCTTCAAGAAATGCTCTGCCACTGTTCCAATTCAGTTTAGTGGGAACCGCCTGCATGACTGGAGCCACGTAAGTCATGGTTTTTAAGTCCAGTGTTAAGAAGTCACTCCCATCATAGCCATATACACTCACCTAAAGGATTATTAGGAACACCATACTAATACGGTTTTTGACCCCCTTTCGCCTTCAGAACTGCCTGAATTCTACGTGGCATTGATTCAACAAGGTGCTGAAAGCATTCTTTAGAAATGTTGGCCCATATTGATAGGATAGCA